CTTCTGCACATTTTCCACTGAAAGATTCTCAACAGCTATTTTCTGGAACTCAGTCCCTGTCCTGTTCTTGTAGTTTCAAGTGGTCAAAAATCAGCATGTATTTTCCTTATTCAGCAATCTTAAATCCTCCACCTTTGAATTTCTAATTGCTCCAGCACTACTTATTGAAAAAGCTATCCCTCCTATGTAACATGTCATTCTCAGATCTATGCTTTCATTGAATCTTTTTACCATTATATGTTTAGTAACTTACATAGTAATAGTATTAGTTGTGTGAAGGTACCACATTTGCCATGAACTTTCTGAGCTTCCCTCATATTTAAAGGGAATGAGTAAAGAAATGTGATTCAATGTTTTAATGTAGATCACCATTTCCTTTGCACTAACATTTCAAAAGAACCATGCCTCTGGGATTTTACCTTAAAAATACACCTGCTATGAAATGGGAGTTGGGAGGGTATAAATCCCAGGTTACTTATTGTGATATTGTTTATATTTGGAATTTACACAGAAAAATCTGAATGACCATACATAAGGTCGAATAAACTGCTAAATGTTCATATAGAGAACTACTAGCTAGCAAAGAAATAATACAAAAATTACAAGTCTCTATGATGATATATGTATTAATTTCCCAGAAAAAAACTAACTGAAAAAATAGAATAAATAAAGAGTAAATAGGTAAATGGAAAAATATAAACTTAGATTGATAGATAAATGTAGATACACTTAATTTTTCCATCAAAACAAAGCAAGCTAGCAAACAAAAAGCACAGGACAGATAAACTGGAAATTAATTAGTTATTCATTATGCATGGGTAAAAATGGTTTGAGAAGGGATAGAGAAAATAATTGAAAGTTTGAGTAGACCTTTTCATATAGTTTTGCTTTTGAAATGTGAATATTTTACTCAAAAAATAAAATTAAATGAAAATAAGTTGAAAATCCATAAATTGAATCCTAATATATTTTTTAAAAAAACTCTTTGCAGCTAAAAATAATCACATACACACACACACACACAAAGACTGCCCTTGTAACAGGCTCGTGGTGAATCGTATATTGCTCGATTTTACAGCAGAAATGATAACCGAAGTGCAAGAGCTCTGCTCCTGCAATCTGTGATGTAGTAAATCACTTCTGTCCTGGAAGTTTTCAGTGATGCCCTTAAATAATTATTTGGTCACTTTGGTTTCAATATTAGCACAATTATATAACATCCTTACTTTATTCCTCTATATTAAGTAGCAACTTCATTTTCTGAAATAAATCTGAAACCATTTTAATATATTAACAGGACACCTGCCAGATTTGAGGAAGAAAAATTTAAGTTAAAACAAAGTGTTATGCTTACTGATAGTCAATCAAGAATAAATTTTCTTAATAAAACAAGTGTTCAACTGAAATAATACCATGTGATATTAAATCCTTGAATAAATTTGCAGTTAACAATTGGTGGCCAATCTTTCCAGGGCTTAAGTCTTTTCTAAATACATATACCAAGGAAATCAAATTTAATTTTAAGAATTGTAAGTCCGCTATATAGCAAGTAGAACTAATGAACATAAGGAACAATGAGAAAAATCTGAATGTAGCCATTGTGTACAGAATAATTAATCTAGAACTAAAAATTGGGAGATATTGTGGTCTTTGTTATATCATTTTCACTGGCCATTTATAATATATGCAAAATATACATTTTCATTTGCTGCAAGCAGATGCAATCAAATACATTGAATGAAGGCAAGCTAGGTAACTGCTGTGTCATGGAAGATATGTAGAAGAACAGAAACATGAACTAGGACCTTAACAGGCTACAGCTCATGACAGAACTGCCCTTAGTATATGCAAATAAACACTTGCACACATTGTGCCTGGCCCTTCATTCCTCTCGCCCCACCCTATTTTCAACAACATATGAAACACCTGTTTCTCAGGATAAACAAGTTATGTATAAGTTAAGCAATGTATGTAAATAAGATAGGTTCCAAATTATGTGCCTTATCATCTGTAATATTCCCTTTTTCTGTTGATTCTGCTGCCATGTCAAACCCACACCAACTACTCTCCTTTCTAAATGTATGCACTTCATTTTTTAAATAATTTTTATTTATATAAAATGAACAAATTTCATGTATTTCATATGTACAGATTTAGGAACATGGTGATACTTTCCAACCTACCCTTGAATGTGCGTGCTTCTTTACTCATAATTTTGATAAACACAATTTTCTGAGACTATCATCTGGTTCTTCTGAAATTTTTCATTCTCCATAAATTATTGCACTTAGTTTGTATTCCTTAAATGGGTAGTCAAAGAATTAGTAAAAGAATAAACAATGCCCCTCTTTTAGAAGAAGTTAAACAAACTTTCAATTGCATCTCAATTCATGAGGTAAAAGTTGTTTAAAAGAACATCCTGAGTCACCAGGATCAATAATGTAAATATTGGCACTGCTGTTGTGGGGCACAGTGTGTTATCTGCCACTTGCCAGGCTGGCATCCCACATTGGAGTGCTGTTCCACTTCTTACCCAGGTCCCTTCTAATGTTCCTGAGAAAACAAAAGATGGCCCAATTACTTATGCCACTTCCACCTATGTGGGGGACTCAGATGGAGTTCAGCCTGGCCCTGACCCAGCCATTGCAACCATTTAGGTAGCAAAGCAGCATGTGAAAGATCTCTCTCTCTCTCTCACTCGCTCTCTCTGTCTTTCCCTCTCTGTGTCACTCTGCCTTTCAAGGAAATAAATAAATCTTTTTAAAGACACTGTAAAAGTTGCCTAAAAGACTAATGTCAATAAAATATTATAATTAGAAAAAAAGTTTCTGCCCACACATAAACTTCCTTACCCTCCCCTCTTCCTTCTTTGTAGTCTTCTATCATTGCTCATGTGTTTAGTTCTCCTCTGTGTGGTAAAAAAGTATAAATTGTAACTAAAAAATCAAGTTGATGGTTAAATTCATGTATCTATGGCAAATTACTTTCTTGGTTAGGATTTACATTTCTAAGTAATATTTTGGCGCAAGCACCCCATATAGGTGCTGGTTCTAGTCTTGGCTGCTCCTCTTCTGATCCAGCTCTTATCTGATGGCCTGTGAAAACAGTAGAAGATTGGCCAGGCACTTGGGCCCCTGCACCCATGTGGGAGAATGGGAAGAAGCTCCTGGCTCCTGGCTTCAGATCTGCACAGCTCTGGCCATTGCGGCCATTTGGGGAGTGAACCAGTGGATGGGAGATCTTTCTCTGTCTCTCCCTCTCATTGTCTGTAACTCTACTTCTCAAATAAATAAATAAAATATTTTAAAAAAATTTTAAAAACTAATATTTTGTTAAATGTCTCAAACACAGCATTTTTTTTCTATTTGGTTCACCATTGTAAGCCAGTAATGACATCACACCAGAAACGAGGTAACAGCCTGATGAATGAAGTCAGACATGGGCAGGATTTGCTGAGAGTTTTCTGGTACCCATGATTAGAATAGACACACAGCACATTAATACAGGAATACACTGAGGAGGCATATTCCCAGAGAATTCATATTTCAGAGTGCAGGGATTCTGAATCAGCCATTTCCTATTAATCACTCGAATCCTCTCATCTTCTCTTCTGATTATAGCCACTGCTACAATTCCACATGGGTTTTGCCTTGTTTCATGCAAGGGCAACTTGACACTTAATTTCAGTCGTTTCTTGTACCTCTTGGTTTTATGCCTCGGTAGCTACCTGGGGCACCTACAAGGATCCACTTGTCATACAGCCTTGTGCAACCAGAATTGCAGAAGAACTTCTCCATTTGAGTCACCTTTGACCAATAGATGATGACAACAAATGAATGAATGGATCTGTCTTCCAACCCGCAAGTCCGGTGGCTCTGAGATTCCTTTCATGTATCTCATTACTCCCTTGACAACATGATGAACCATACACTCATTGGAAAGAAGTGAATTATCTATTCTTATATCAGCTTTTTCTATTTTATTTTTTAATCCCTTCTTTTCATTCACTCTGTAATCCTCGAATAAACTATTTGCATATCTCTTCAGTTCGGATTCTGCTAATTCAGAATTTGGGTTGACAAGCCCGACTTGTACATGAAATAACATTTAAAAGAGATTGATGAAGTTTAAAATATCACTAAAAGTACTTGTCTTCCAAATTGTACCTAGAATTATTTGCATTATTATTTTATATCCTGAAATCCCTTCAATTATAGATTAATTTGAATCATTAGCCGTCTTTCTTTAAAATACAATTACTACAGTGAGGATGTCCAATTTATTATTATGATTAATATGTGAGATAACTAGGAAGAAGACAGAGAAAGAAATAAATCTAGAAAAGAAATTAATATTAAAAATTCTGGAGACAGATACATGATGAACATTATTTACTTGGGAGGTAATTAATAATGGAAATACCATATTATTTTTGGGAAGGCATTCTTATCTCTACCCAGTCATTATCAGGAATGGGAATGAACAGTGTTGATTGGCAGAGCTGTAAAAATAATATGACCTCCTCCTCTTCCCAATAAAATCTGTTCAGAATCTGAATCTCCAGCTTATGTACCATGGCTTTCCATCTGTCCTGGGTTTGTGTCATACTTTGTTGTGTTTTTGCTTCTTTAGCTGGAGTATCCAATGTTTCTAATGATTACCCTCCTTTGTGGAGTAAAACCCCTAGTCAGTTTAGTGACTACAGTGTAGAAAATGGAAAATACATCATTAATCCATGGAATTACCTTGAGAGAATGGGTATGTATAAAATCCTGTTGCATCAAACTGCCAAATACTTTGAGAAATTTGCTCCAGGAAATGGACAAAACATTTTATGGGGATTGCCTCTACAGCATGGATGGCAATATCAAACAGGTAAGCAATATTTTCTTTTACTTTACAGTGATTCTTTGATTTAATTGTAAATTAATCAAGATGTAGCTAATGCTGTATATGTATAGCTAACACTGTCTTTTACACACTGATTATTTTTTCCCTCTTTCTTTTTTCTATTCCTTTACTCTTATTGTTTTTTCCATTCTTTCTGTTCTGTTTTTTTCAACTTATTTTCTCCTAATATTTCTTTGTCAAGTACTTAGGCAATTCCATGTCCCCAGTTTCTCCCTTGGCACAATTAAGTAGAATTGTGTAAAGTGCTAAATTTTTTCTGTATGTCCAGTCCAGTAAAGAAGCACGAGCCATAATGTGTTCACATGTTCTCACATGCAACTAAGACATCAGCAGAACTGAAACCTTAATTTTATTTAATTTTTATTCATTTAAATTTAAATGACCACAAGTGGCTATCAATTACCACATTTGTTGATACATAACATATTAGGCCATGTTCATTCAATATCAACAACTATGTATTGAGGCCCTATTATATACTAAGCTTGGTGCTAAGTATTGGAGATGATACCCCAAAACAGAAGCATTTAGGTGATATACATTAAGTATACAAAGGTAAATGAGATTAGTCCATATTATCTATGGTTCTAAATGTGATTAGTTAATTAGGTAGATTCGAGTGACACTGGAGGGAATAACTCTTAAAGAACATTTCTCTCAAAGTTCTCTTCTTTAAAATAACATCTACACTTAAGAATTTGAATGGAGATTTATTTTGGAACAACATTATAAATATACAAGTATTTGTTTCAGGTAAAATAATATGCAAGAAGAAAGGAAGTTTTATTATTATCGAGCTTGTCAGGGTGTCCTCCTGACACCCACTATAATTTCTATTTATAGGCTATCTTTCGCGTGGAAGGAGGACAATCTGAAGTCCTAAGACATAGCTCAGGAGAAGCCCAAACATAGGGTCCTTTGTAAATAACAAGCAACTCCCTGTGAAGGGGACAGTGGACCCTTCCTAGGAATATTTCTAGTATCAAATGGTGAACAAATGGTAAGGTAGAAAGTTAGAACAGAAGGCTACCTTCCAAATTTCATTTTTATTTAACAACAAAATAGACCTCTTTCTCAGGCAGCTTATTTTCTTCCTATTTATATTGAGTTGAATTCTATAAACACATAAAGAGTCAAAACAGGACTAAAATTATAAAAATAGTACCTAAAATATTTATTTAGTAATATGCTATTATTCAAAGACAAGAAAGGACTACAAGAGAATGAACAGCTCAGGAAAGAGAGCTACAGATGATAATGGACTAAGATTATGAGTGGGAAAAAGTGGCACCAAAGATCTTGCTAGAGGAATTACTAAAGTGTTGTTTACAAACACAGCAATGGAAGCAGATTATATGGGGAAGAGGGCTAAGTCTGGCAGGACAGCCTAAAGGTGAAGCAGACCAGCAGCAGGTGGCAAACTTGAGCAAATCAGGTTAGACCAGTTTAAGAACTATCTTCAAAGTCAGGCTGAATTTGTTTAGATTGTGCCCTTAGGCAAGATGTTTTAGTTTGACAACAAAGACTTAAGACTTGCACAATACAAATGCAACATGAACGCCTTCAGTATTTGCATCTTGCTTGCTTAACAGAGTTTTTAATTAATTAATTAATTTGAAAAGCAGAGTTACAGAGAGGCAGAGGCAGAGAGATAAAGAGAAGTCTTCCAATTGCTGGTTAACTTCCCAAATGGAGCAGGAGCAGGAGCTGTGCCAATCTGAAGCCAGGAGCCAGGAGCCTCCTCCAGGTCTCTCACACAGGTGCAGTGGCCTAAGCACTTCCGCCATCTTCTACTGCTTTCTCAGGCCATAGCAGAGAGCTGGATCAGAAATGAAGCAGCTGGGATTTGAATGTGTGCCTACCTGGGATGCGGGCACTGTAGGCAGGGGGTGCCACCTGCTGTACCATAGCACCAGCCCCAACAGAGTTTTTTTAAAAGTTGTGCTAATCTGTAAAAAGCATACAATAAACTGCCAAATTAAAGGTCTTATTTAATAAGTTTTGAAATATTTATATAACCTTAAAGCCTTCACTACAGATAATACCTATATGCATTATTCTTAAAATATCTTTCCCTTTTCTTTCCTTATCTTCAGAAATTTGCCTAACCTCTATGTTCACTCTTCCACTGCCCTTCAGTTGCTCCAATCCTCACCCCACCCCATCCCATTTTGCAACTTTACAGGTACCACTGATAGCTTTCTAATCCTCAAACTTGGATACATTATATAGAATTTTCATATCAACAGCTGTACACTGTTATATATTAATGTTAGCCATCGCAAAACACACCGAACACCTGAGAAAGGGAAAGGGTTTATTGGGGAACACCCTACAGACCGGAGTGAAGGGGCGGTGAAGGAAAAAGAGAGAAAGAGAATATAAGAGAGAAACAGAGCGGAGAGGAGCTAGCCAGGAGAGAAGATAGAGCAGAGAAGAGGAGAGAAGAGAGCAGAGCCAAGAGAGAAGAACCAAGAGCCAAGAGAGTAGAGAGAGCGCAGGAGAGAAGGGCAAAGAGAGCATGTGTGCAGGAACAGGCCCTTTTAAAACTGCCTGAGGGTGGGCAGGGAAGCAGGAGCAGCGAATCCCATTAGGATGGGGGTGGAGCCTGGCTCAGGTAGCTGGGCCAAGCAGGCAACTGGCTAAAACTGCACCTGTTTCCTAACATACACTACTTTCTGTCTGGTTTATTTCCATTGTCACAGTTATTTTGAAACCCATCCATAGTATTGCAAACAACAATAGTTCATTCACTTTTGTGAACTATTCATTTTGTATAGCAAAGATTTTAATTGGAATATGTGTTGGTACTGTGAAGAAAACATTGAAAGTCTGAGTCAAGGTAAGAAAATACCATCAAAGAAAAAAGTGTTGTACTGTGAAGATGTATATAAACTTTTGATGAATTTCATGCCTTCTCCTAAGACTCTTACAATGTGGTTGAGAAGAAACGTTAAAAGTGAGACAGAGGACAATCAAAAGCCAAAACACAAAATATTGTATAAAAGTTAGAGTGTTATGAGTTGGAAAATTCTGCATCTATAATAGATATGAAATATATCTTTAAAAAATTATCCAAAGTTAATGCATTACAATAAAAGAAACCAACAAGGAAATAAATTTGAGTTAAAGGGAAGAGTTTGGGATGAGTGTGGCATGGGTGAGAGAAAAAGGAAAGGAGAGAGAGCAAAAGAAAAAAAATTAAAAGTATGGGAGACATACAACTTATGCTTAGAGGAATAATATAATTGTAAACAAGGATAAACCCAGAACAGAAATTTAGGTTTGAATGGTAATAGATATAGCATTAATTTTGTTCTCAAAGAAATCAGTGATACAAAATACAGTTTTTAGTCAAGTTTATTGAGAACAATATATTGTTTTCCATAAGGGAGACAAGAAAAATCTTTTGAGGATAAGACAAAAGATCGTATATTTACTAGGGAAATATCAAGAATTGTGATACTCCTCTGTCAAGACAAAGAAACAAACAAAAATCAGAAAGTTTACGAAGCAGGTTTGCTTAGGGATCGAGATCAAGAGCTCAGTCTGAGGTCTGCTCACTTGGAGAAAAGTTGGAATTAGCAATGGAGGAGCTCTGTGGGAATTTGATAAAAATAAAGAGGAGCATATGAAGGATTCAGGGTGTGGAAGTCAGCAATAAAAGGTAATTCTGTGGTTAGCCTAACGAGTGAACATTCTCAGATATGTTTCACATAATTGATTATTAATCCAGTTTAAAGACAAATAATGATTCTGAGAAATTTACATCCATTCACAGAACTATCTAGATCTTTACTCTTGCGCATTTGAGGGTAGGTCAATAAGAACCTAGAATGAGAAAGGACAAGGAAAACTAAACAGATTATGGAAAACAGAGAGACTAGTGAGTGGACACATACTTACAGAAAAATGACGTATGAGTATAGGAAACCCCAATAGTGCAGAGAAAGAATAGTGTAGAGAAATAAAGAAACTGTGTCCAAAAGGTAAGGGGTGGACTAGAGAGCGACCGGAGGGGCAAGAGACTAGACAAACACTGTTTTATAGAAGATAGAAGAAAGAGGATGTTAACATGAATACAGGGAATAAGTCAGCTATGGAAATGGTCAAAAGGGGAAGAGAGGTGGACATTGATTAAAAGGCAGCAGAAGAAATATCAGGGTTTCTAGGTAAAAAGCAATACAACAAATAACAAAATTAAATGTGGAATCAATCAGAAAGAGAAATTTTAAAACAAGAGATAAAAGAGGATTTTGAAGAGTGTATGAAATAGAATAATGACTGATATTCATGTAGTGAGTGCTGATTGCATTGAGCACTTTGCATGCCCAGCTTCCTGTGGGATTCCTCAATCCTTATGGAGTAATTATTTCTAGGATCTGTAATATGTAGATTTAAAAATTGAGGTTTACAAGAGTTATCTATCAGGATCAAGTAATGGGTAAAAGAAGTCTAGATCTTGTGTAACATACATATACATTAATTCCCCAATTTTCAGTTAGTGAAGAGTAGAAGTGATATTAAATAGAAGAGACAAAAGCCACAGAAGTCTAAAAAATAAGGTCTAGGAAAGAATAGAGAGTAAGAATGCTAAAGGAAAGAAAAACTATGAGTGGGAGAAAAAAAGTAAAAAAGTTATTGAGGTAAGAAAGTGATGGGAAAAATAACAGTTTTTTCCAAGAATAAGTATTCTGAGAATTCATGACCAAAAAAAAATTGTTAAATTTTTGTATATGCACTTTAGAAATGGGCCTAACAAATCCAACTCTGCATGTTCTCTCATAGGCAGATTAGCCGACCCCACCCAAAAGACAGACTGTGGCCTTGACTCTGGGGATCATCTGTGTATCTCTGTGGACAGTTGGTGGGCTGGTGAGTGAAGTGTGACAGACTTCAAGTTGATGACTTTCTCAAAATGCCTGATCCAATCTAGAAGCCCAATTATAGAAAATAAAAACTAGTGTTACTGAATTTCCAAAAGAATGTGGAAATTAAATTTTAAATTTACTAATCAGTATATTTGATTATGTAAATTGGATGTCCAGTTATGTAAACTTCAATTAGTTGAATTTAATTTAACATGCTTTAAATACTGAGGACAGAAGTGGAAATTTTTATCTTGTTATCAAATAAAACTTTCCTTACTCCCCATGTAGGACCTCTGTCCTTCATGAGTTGTAATATGAGAACTAACTGCAAAACTTGTTCTCAAAAGTACTTTATACATTGTGTGTGTGTGGGTCCAAACGGTTGAAATCTTTACTTAATATAGAGTTGGTCTTCTGTATATAAAGTTAAATTAAAAATGAATCTTAATGAAGAATGGGATGGGAGAGGGAGTAGGAGGTGGGATGGGAGTGGGCGTGGAAGGGTGGGTATGGGGGAAAAACCATTAAATTCCTAAAGTTATACCTATGAAATTTGCATTCATTAAATAAAAGATTTTTGAAAATATAAAAAATAAAACTTTGTTAACAATAAAAAAATCTCTATATTAGAATATTTTAAAGACATATCAGACTTTCAGATTTGGAATAAAAATGCTGATAAAAAATTGTACCACTAATAAGTTATTTTTTTATTTTTAACTTATGATTCAGAATGTAAATGGTATTTAAAATTCTGGTGTCATCATTGCTGGTTTAAAATAATGTATCTATAACATAATTCCATTTTTATAAGAGTAACAATTTTGAGAGAAGCATATTTGACTTGCATATGATCCTTAAGGAAATTTCTGATAATAATTTCTGACATGCCCCAATTAGAGTTTAAATTTTTCCACCCTTCTAGATCTTTGGGGTTTACTTTTGTGATATATTAATTAAAAAACAACCTAGGGGCAGGTCTGTTAGCCTAGTAGTTAAAGACACCAGTTAAGATACCTGCATCCCATGTCTGCGTGGCTGGGTTCAACATACAGTTCCAGCTCTGACTCCAGTTTTCCGTTAATACGGACCTAGACTGTTAGCAGTAATGGTTCAAGTAATAGGGTTCCTACCACCCATGGGTGAGACCTGGATTGAGTTCCTGGAACCCAGCTTTGGCCTTGGTCCTGATCTACCCATTATGGGAATTTGTGGAATGAGTGAGTAGGTGGAAGCTCTCCCTCTCCCGACCTTTCAAATTAAAACAAACAAACAGGAAAACACTTCTTTTCTATATTAACAATATCAATAACTTTTTCTTTTACACAGACTTTAATTATTATCTCTCTGCAATACCCTTCCTTGCTGCAGTTGATTCTGGCATAATGGGGATATTATCAGACAATGTCCTTCTTCTACCACCACCCAAGGATCAGATGAATTTTTGTTATAATGTTTCTAGCTGCCATTCATCCTTTCCGGAAGTAATGAGAATGTGGAATGAATTTTACCAGGTTTTTAAAAAATATTTTGATTAGCAATCTTTTTAGGTAGCTAAATAATTTCTGAATAATACTTTTGTAAGATTTTAATGCACTCAACAATGTTCCTAAGAAATGATTCCTAATATGAAATGTTCAACAATATGAGATTTCTACATGGTGTAATATTTCATTAGCACCCTTGTTTCCAGTATAGTTTTGAGACAGTTGTATGTACTGTTACCACTTCAAATAAATCAAAAACAACCATGTAAGTACACAAAAATTATGGCTTAATGGTGCACTAAACATTCTGATTCACCATAATTTAATCAAAAGAACAGTAACCTATATAGAAATATAATTCTGGAATAGATTGTAGTGAATTTGATCAACATATTGGAAACTTCTGATAAAAATTATCATATGTGAGTTGACTGAAACAATCATCTGACAATCAGAATAAAATATTAATGTTCAAATTGGAGTGCCAAGGGTAGAAGAGAGAGTAATCAAACATCAATTTTACCTTTAGAGACATTCACATTATATTGTGTGTGATTAGATTTTTTTTTTTTTTTGACAGGCAGAGTGGATAGTGAGAGAGAGAGACAGAGAGAAAGGTCTTCCTTTGCCATTGGTTCACCCTCCAATGGCCACCGCGGCCGGCGCACTGCGGCCGGCGCACCGCGCTGATCCGAAGGCAGGAGCCAGGTGCTTCTCCTGGTCTCCCATGGGGTGCAGGGCCCAAGGACTTGGGCCATCCTCCACTGCACTCCCTGGCCACAGCAGAGAGCTGGCCTGGAAGGAGGGCAACCAGGACTAGAACCCGGTGTGCCGGCGCCGCTAGGTGGAGGATTAGCCTATTGAGACGCGGCGCCGGCCGCGATTAGATCTTATGATTTTACTCTGCTCACACCCACTTCTGACTCAACTTTATGAAAAATTAATTTCACAGCATGAGGAAAACAAATAAAATACTTAATATCTAGTTCTAAATAGCATAAAGTTTTGAATATTTTAAAAATAATTGGATTATTCCTTTTAAATGATTTCATTATTACTGATAATCTAATTGAGAGTAAATTCTTCAGAAAGTATTATGTGCTAAATCTTTCATATTTTAATTCTTAGAAACAATGTTCTTTCATTTAGGATGTAGAAAAATTGTATTTGTAAATACGGTTGATTTTCATTTGAAGATAGTGGTATAATTGCCTAAGTATTAATGACATTTTCCTTCTTGGGTAGCATGTAAAGTCACCTTCTGCTAACTTGGATGAACTCTTGAAACACTTATGGGATGCACATGTCTCATCTATTGAGGCTGCTCATAGAAATTTTCACTGTAGGTAAGAATGAATTCATAGTTATTTTGCCTAATATGGTAATAATCTTTCATTTTTACATTATCTTTTTCATTGAAGTATTCATTGACCAATATTCATCAGTGAGAAAGTATTATAAAGGAACTGGTAAGAAACTGTTTTATTAAAAAAATTGGAGTTTTTATGAAAAGGAAATAAAATATGAATAGAAGTAGACTTGAACACAAAGCACTGAAAAAGAAATGAAATAAAATATAACCAAAAGTATAAGAAGATTTTTAAAGGTTATTTTATCCCAAACTAATGCCTATAAATCAAAATGATTTAATGAGAATAATAGTTCTCTGTATTACTTTGATTAGAGAATATAGATTAGTTAACACATATCCAAGAACTGTCTTTTATTATGTTAGATAACTAAAATTATGTCAAATTCTCCTTGCTCCATAGCAAATGAGAATAAGAGTGTAATTTTCTCATTTTTAATTCTGTAATGAAATGCCTTCTGCAGGCAATTTTATGAAGAAATGAGTTTATTTAGATCAAAATTTTGGAGACTGAAAGTCCAAGAGTGGGTGGCTTCCTTGATTCAGTCCCTGCTCATGGCCTAACAGTAGATGATATGAAGGCAAAAGTGCATCTGAGAGAGAGATTACACTGCAAACTATAAACCTATAGGGAGATATGGGTTGAAAAAAAAAAGACAAAAAGAGGAAGAAGGAGGAAGACAGGGAGAGGGAGAGAGGAAAGAGAGAAAGAGAGAGAGAGAGAGAGAGAGAGAGAGAGAGAGAGAGAGAGAGAAAGAAAGAGAAAGAAAGAAAAAGAGAAAGAAAGAGAGAGAGAAAGAAGAGAGGGAGGAGGGAGGAGGGAAGGAAGGAAAAGGAAAGAAAAAGAAAAATGAAAAGAAAAGAAGGAAAGAAAGAAGAAAGAGGTTGGTTTTAAAAACAAGCACAGGCATTTTGAAGAGTTCTTGCTAATCAGCTGTTGTTTTTTTCACTGACCCAAGTCCAGTTTAGATAAATAAATCATGGTCAATAGACTTACATTGCCATGCATACTTTATTTGTCAGTATTGCTTCACAGGCTGAAGTTTACTTTGGACAGCAGAAGAGTTCATCCCCTTGGCATGTCCGTGGGATGAATTAGGATTGTAGCCATCATAGCAGCTTTTGCTGTGAATCAGCTGCTATTTCTTTTGCCTGCCAAGGAGGAATGAGGTCAAGGAAGCAGAGAACAAGTCATCAGCATCAAGACTGGGACTGAAAACAACTCATTATAATTATACAAAATAGTTTATAAAATACTATTTTTTATTTGAAAAGTTTTTCAATCACGTGGTCAGCTAAACTAGTATAGGAAAATTTTTGATAGAAATTCTCAAAGGATAACAAGTTCAGCACTCAGTATTTAAAATAAAAAGGCCAAAGCTGAATTTATTTCTTCTGACAGTAAGGGTGAGTTGTGCTTGGTAGGAACAATCTCTGTGAGCATCCTGATCTTATAGAAGTTCCAGGAAGTGCAGAGCTCAGGGAGTGATTCTGATGCCTGTACAGCGTACAGGTATAAGGTGGCTACTTTGGTGAGACTCAGAGACCTATTTACTGGAGGGTATAGGTTTCTGATTAACTTGGAAATAATTCAATTATTTTCAATATATCATATTTATAAATAATCTGACACAAAATGATATCCATATGAATTATTTGATGAATAATTTTAACTGGCCTTTTTCACATATCAATTCAGGAAAAAAAAATCTGTTTCACTGTTCTTAATAGAAACATTCACATATACAATGATTATTTTATGCTAACAAAAATTCTTAATTTCCTGGGTTTCTATTTTTCATACATGATCATTTATATGTGAGAGGTCTTCAAAAAGTTCATGGAAATGCATTTTATGAAAACTGTGCATGGATTTCAAAATTGTTTGCACCAAAATTAATACCTTTTAATTTTTCATGATTTTTTATATCTCCTCATAGATGTCAACATCTACTTATTTAAAGATTTCTTTTTTTTGAAAGATTTATTTATTTATTTGAAAGTCAGAGTTACACAGAGAGAGGAGAGGCAGAGGAGAGAGAGAGAGAGAGAGAGAAAGAGAGAGGTCTTCCATCTTCTGGTTTACTCTCCAATAGGCTGCAATGGCCAGAGCTGCGCCGATCCGAAGCCAGGAGCCTGGAGCTTCTTCTGGGTCTCCCAAGCGGGTACAGGGGCCCAAGGACTTGGGCCATCTTCTACTGCTTTACCATAGCAGGCCATAACAGAGAGCCAGATCTCAAACGTGCACCCAAATTGGATGCCGGCACTTTAAACGGCAGCTTTACCCCCTATGCCACGGTGCCGGCCCAAAGACTTCTTTAAATGGATGTGTAAGTGGCAGGACCTGAACTAAGAATTTTCTCAATACACATTCATATATATAAACTTTTTATGAAGTATGCACATGGTCAGTGGCATGACGAAACTTATATGAAGAGTTATCTGACTTCAAAATTCATATTGCTACCCTCTTAACTCTTCTGTTTACAAATTTCTTTCCAACTAGTGTTCAGAGATCAACATCAATCATAGGTTTTATTTCCTCTTTAGAGCTCAATTAATAAGCAATTAGTGGTATTTACCAGACACTATAATGTGAAAACCAATGTATTAGAAATGTTAGATACAAATATATACAGTAGATTCTGCACCATTAAAAAAAATAAATTTAATCAAATGATCAAACCTTTCTTCACACCTACTTTTCTGTATTTTATAAAATCTTTCTTACTGGTTTATTCCTTAATTTTGCTACATTCCATTTTTCATCGAAGAAGAGCTAATGTGAAGTTAGTGTCTTTGTATGTTTTAGAGTAACTTTATTCCACCATATCTTCTGTCTGATTACTTTGCTAAGTATAATCATACATGAAATTTCATATTTAAATATAGTGTCTATTAATTTTAGTTACTGTGAAATTTTTAATTTTTGTGTTTATTGGCTCTTAAGTACAATTTGCTGTCTTTCTGGCACATCGTATGATTTGCCAAGGCAGCCAATCCAGTCAAGGGGCAGTTTATGCCCTAACCAATCACAGCCTGTTGCCAGGCAGTATCTGAAGCCATCCAATTACAGCCTGTTGCCAGGCAGGCTCTGTTGCCAGGTGGGTTTCGAAGCCATTCTTGAGTAACGGACGCTCGCTTGCCAGCGGCCATCTTGGCATGGCCTTCTCATTCCACCACACAGGGGCCTAAGGACTTGGGCCATCTTCTACTGCTTTCCCAGGCCAAAGCAAAGAGCTGAATCGGAAGAAGAGTAGCCAGGTCTCAAACCGGCACCCATATGTGATGCTGCCACTTTAGGTCAGGGCATCAACCTGCTGTGCCAAAGCGCCGGTCCCGAACATCAATTCTTAAATCCTGGATTTGAGCAGTAATAGTAGCAAAATTGGCAAATTTTCTCTGACTCCATTTCTTCATGTATAAAAACAAACAATCCAGGTGTTATTTCTAAAATAATAGAATGGGGATCTCCCTAAATTCACTCTTCAATAAAAGAACAACCCAGGAAAAACGCTCAAAATTAACATTTTCTGTTATCAGAATTAACCACTGGCTTGCAACAATCTGAAAAATATTTATTCAAAGAAAGTGAGGAATGTAGGTAAGAGCAAAAGGGTCTGAGATATTGTAATTTAGCCTGTCTCAATTTCCCTATTCTGCAGGACCCTTGTGGAAAGCCGCGGCTCACTAGGCTAATCCTACGCCTTGCGGCGCCGGCACACCGGGTTCTAGTCCCGGTCGGGGCGTTAGATTCTTTCCCGGTTGCCCCTCTTCCAGGCCAGCTCTCTGTTGTGGCCAGGGAGTGCAGTGGAGGGACTTGGGCCCTGCAACCCATGAGAGACCAGGAGAAGCACCTGGCTCCTGCCTTCGGATCAGCGCAGTGAGCTGGCCACAGCGCGCTGGCCATGGCGGCCATTGGAGGGTGAACCAACGGCAAAGGAAGACCTTTCTCTCTGTCTCTCTCTCTCTCCCTGTCCACTCTGCCTGGAAGAAAAAAAAAAAAAAAGGCAACCTGGGCTCTGAGTCCTTCCAGAAGCTCTATGCCAGAGCATTGCCATTATTTACCTCCTTTACATCTTCCTGGAAAAAAAAAAAATCATCCTCTGGGTACCACAAATATTTGAACTATCCCCTCTGCATGTAAAGTTTACCTCAGAGCATTAGTTTAAAAGAATCAACACCAAGTATCTAACACCTCGGCTGCCTGAGACTGTTACAGTAGTTAAAGTAAACAAGAACCAGGCCCCAAACTAGAACTATTTGGGGAATAGGATGACTTTGGAATAGGTGAATATTCATCTGGGGAACAGGTGACTTTGGAAAGGATTGAAATATTTCTGGGAATCTAGGAGTCTGCAGACTTGAACAGGACTGTGAATCTCTTGGCTGACCTTGAGCCCAGTGAGTAAGAAATAAGGGTAAAAAAGTAAGAAGCAGTGACTAAGACAGAGTTGTAATGGTGTAGCATTGAAAATGTGCCCCAGAACACACACAGAGTTCCTGTAAAAAGGGTAGAAAGCTACCAGTTTAAGGAATTAAAATCTTTTACCCATTATTAGTAGACGACTAAGTTTATAGAGCAATGAGTTGAATGATGACTCACAACAGAATGCAAACTGAATACACAAAATTAGTTCAGGGAAGTCACTAAACCAGCAATAACAAATGAAACAAGCAACAATAAACACTGGTGAGAATGGCTGTCTGATTTTCAGAATTGCTGTTTTATGTTTGAAATGACCAGTGTTACAGAAAAGTAAGAAATCGGCAACGAACAAGAAAAATATTGCACACACTCACACAATTAGTCAATTTAAGTTGTTCCTGAGTTGGCACAAATTTAAATTAACTATTATGAACATGCTTAAACCAATAAAAGGATCCACATCTAAAAAATTAAGGGAAATGTGAATACTGACAATAACATCAAGAATGTCAAGCAGATTTAACCTGGTGGGAGAAAGAATAAGTAAAATAAATTGATTATAAATTAGACTCTCCATTCTGAGAAACAGAAATTCTTTAAAATGGGGGAAAATGAGCAGAATTTCCCTAGCTGCACAACATTATCAAACATATAACACATATATAATGGGGTTTCCAGAAGGAAGACCAGAGAAAAGGGAGCAAAAAGAATATTTGAAGAAACATTAAAAATTTCTCAAACTTGATTTGGAAACGTTAATTTATAAATCCATGAAGCTTTATGAATTCCAAGTTAGGTAAATTCAAGAAAAGCCACCTTTTTAGCCAAATTGTAGACTCATCATTCAATACAAAGGGATAATTTAAAAGCAGGAGCAGAAAAATGACTTCTCACAGATAAGAGATCTTCAGTAAGATAGAGAGTTGATTTCTCATCAGAAACCGTGTAGGCCTGAAGACATACTCAAAGTGCTGACAGAAAAGGCATGTCAAATAAGAATTATACGTCCATTAAAACTATCCTTTAAAATGAAGAAGTAATTAAAACACTTACAGGTGTGCAAATGCTAAAAGTGTTCATTGCTAGATGATAATGCCTTTCAAGAAAAATAGATGTCCTTCAGACTGAAATGAAGGGATACTAGATAGTAAATCAAAATCCATATGGTGAAAAAAACAGTAATAGTAAAGGAGCTACTTGGATAAATATAAATGACACTGTAACTATGTATTTTATATTATTTTGTTCTCTATTTCAAATACAACTGCATAAGGCAGTAAGTAAATTTTCCAGGTGCTTTATAATAAATAAAGATGGAATTATTATGAAAATATTTACACAAATGATGAAAGGATTAGAATTCTACTGCAAAAAATCTTTATGAATTGAAAGAAGATAGTAATTTTAGAATTCATCTGAAATGCATTTTTAACAGTATTAGTTGTAATCCCGTCAACTAAGAACAACAGTTAAGAAAACAAATTCAATACATATGTTGTAAAAGAAACCACAGGGAATTAAAAAGTCACATTAGAAAAATTCTGTTGACCACAGAAGGCAATAGCAGAAGAGAAGAGGAATGAGGACATAAGATACATAAACAAACCATAAAAAGGCAGAATTATATCAAAATAAGATGAAGATGTTTCAAGGAAAGAAAACTGCATACCTATATTTCTTGAGAGTGTAGACACAAAAGTCCCCAACATAGTAATGGAATAGAAAATACAATTACATATGAAAAGGATATTAACCATGACAAACCAAGATCTATGCCAAGAATGCAAGCTAGTTTGGCCTCTGGATATCTATAAAATATATCATGATAAGAGAATATAGGACAAAAATTCACATAATCCCCACACTATTTCATACTTGCAAAACTCAGCATCCTTTTATGATAAAAAGAAGACACTCAAAAACTAGGAATAGAACAGTCTTTTATTGTGACAAAGGCATCTAGAAAACCCACAGCTAACATAATATTAATGCAATACTCAATACCTCTTCCCTAAAATGAGAAACAAGATAAGATTATCCATTCTTGCTACATCTTCTCAACATTGTGCTGGACGTTCTAGCCAGAAACTTGGTTAAGAAAATAAATAAAAGGCATCCATATTGGAAAAGATAAAATAATATGTTTCTGTTTCTCAAGAAATCCTCTTAAAAATTAGAATTAATGAGTTCATTAACATAGCAAGATACAAGATCAACATATAAAAACCAGTGGTATTTCTAGACACTACAATGAAAATATCCTAAAGTGAAACTAAAAATGGATACCTTTACATTGATATCAAAATGAATAATATATATAGGAAAAATGTTAAGAAAAAGAAGTGCAAAACTTGTATACCCAGAAAAAATATAGAAGATTAATGAAAGAAATTAGAAGTCCACTTAAAGGATGAGGCTTCCCAGAAGATATTATTGTTAGGATGCAATTTATGCAATCCCTATTAGCTTTTTATGAGAAAATTGCAATATTTGGTACAGGGAAATACTAACAAATGGAATACAATTGAGAGTTTAGAAATAAACTCTTGACATTTGTTGTCACTTTACTTTCAAGAAGGGCACAAGATCATTCAATAAGTAATAATAGTCTTTAATAAATGATATTGGAAAAACTGGAAATCTACAAATGAATGAAATTTGTCTGCCACAACACATCATTAACCCAAAATGCACAATGGACCTAAATATAAGAGATCAAATTATAAAATATTTAGAAAAGGCCTTGACTTTGGTTTTGGCATTTTTTTTTTCTAGGAAGTGACACTGAAAACACAAAGGTCAAAAGAAGAAATAAATAAACTTTAAAGTTTTGGTTCAATAAAGTAATAGACACTGCACAGAATTGGAGTACATATTTGCAAATCAAGTATTTGTTAAGGGACTTGCATCCAAAATATATAAATACTCTTACTTCTCAAAAAGACAAATAATCTTATTTTATAATAGAAAGGATATTTGAACAAGTATTTCACCAAAGACATACAAATGACCAATAAGCATATGAAGAGATACTGAAAATTATTGTTAATCATTAAGGCAATGTCAGCCAGATTAGTAACAAGTATTGATGAGGATGTAAGATACCTGGATAATGTGGTGACATGGCTGCATCCACCTAAGAAATAAATGTGACAGTTCCTCTTTCCTAAAGGTGAGAGTTGGTTTTGGTATTTTGGTCAGAGCATGAAGTACTATCTTTCCTATAATCAGAGGCATGGTTAGCTATTTCATTTCCTCTATTTCCGTAACTGTATATGAACCACAATACCCTGTGATTCACTAATGATATTCACCAGGGAATACGTGGGGAGCAACTTGGACTAGACTAAGTTACTGGAATTAAGACTTATTCTATGCATCTGCTCTCCCACAATATGGCGCTGGGAGAGGAGGAAACAGCTTCTACGCAGCTGCCTCTTGCCAGCTTGAGTGATGACCTCCAGGAGCTGATCCTGCTCCTGATTGGAGGAGAGCAGCGTGCTCGGCATGTGGGCAGCCGAGTTGGGATTGGTGGAAGAGGACTATAAAGGAGGAGAGAGACAGCATGCACCAGGAACATCTAAGGGGAACATCTATCTGAAGGAACACCTGTGCAGCCCCCGAGAGAGCCGGCCGGCAGTGTGCCGCTCCCCCGCGGAAGTGGGGAATGTGGCAGGGGGAACCGCCCTTCCACGGAGGTGGAAGGGTCGGTAGCCAACCCGGGAAGAACCAGCAGCAAACCCGGGGAGGGCCGAGCAGACAAAAGAACAGTGCAGGGTCCTGTGTCGTTCCTCCACGAAGAGGGGGAGCGACAGGAATATATTTTAATTGTCTCTTGAATCTCCAACACTTAGCCCATCATGTCTGTATTACTCAGGGTAAAACCAAGGAAGTTTTACAAACCAGGTAGTTTCCATAACTAACAGTGGAGGATATGAGCTACACACAGGGTGTAAACTGTTTCAGAGAAAACAAACATGATATTAAACAGCAAGTTATTCACATGCTCAGAAGATTGACTGTAAAAGGTGGCACAGGTTGTATATGTGTAAAGCTGTTCACTACAAACTGAAAATTTCTTCCTCAGTGAGGTAAGAAAATGGCATTCTAGCATACTTTGCCAGGAAAAAAAACCAAGTGACCTAATAAGAAAGAAACATTCTCCCATTTTTCAGTGATGAACTAACATAAATAATTGTGTATTATTCAATAGTTGGCCAAGTCCAGCAGAGACTTTGTCTTGTCAACTTTTATTTGAATTTTACAATGAAAAATGGTCACAATTTAGAGTTTAAGTAGAGCAGGCTTTATGTAAAGAACAAAAGATTTGATGAAAACTATAAGTGTTCTTGGTTGGTAATTTCTAGAATCAACAGTTTAATATTGTCTGACACTTTCAAGTCTATGGGATAAAGTTGACACCAAGTTCATACATTTTAAAAATCGGAAAAACACAACTTTGAATAGATTAGCTGTTTTGACAATTTTGAGTAGACTAATTTTAAATGCATATTTTCCCCACTTGTCTATTAGGTTAAAATATTATTCTACGCAAGAAGCAGATTTTCAGAGAAGCTGGGCCCTGTTTGTGAATTATTTAGCTCAATCACTCTTTCCTGCAACTTACATTAGAATATGTGAATTCCAGAAGGGCCTGCCACCACGAATACTTATTACTGGGGACAGAGCTCCCTTCATCAGCGACTTCACTGACTTCCAGAATATAGTCCTACTTGCTCTAAAATTCTTCCATAAAATGCATAAGTATACAGGTAAGAGGCACACAGATTTGTTTTTTTTGTAAATTCTATGTGTTGTGTTGATTTCATGGATGATAAAACATTAGAATCTTAATTGTAGATTACAACAGACTTCTGACATAGGAAAGTTGACTTTCTATAGATATGGGCTTCAAAGTTTTAACAGGAAGTCCTGTTCACTTATTATAGGTTTCACTTAATGAGCATATATCATAGGCCCTTCCTTACTTGGCGTGTCTCTCCTGCAAAGTTCTTGCACAAATATAGAAAATATAGAAAATCACTAGTAGTGCACGCTAGATAGAGAGAATCTCTATTTTTTTCTTGGCTAAGATTTACTTTATTTCATTTTATCTTTTGTTTTTAAATGAAAAATATAATAAATATAAGACACTTGCCATGACTAACAGAACCACAAAATATATTTCATTACACAAACTTCCCTTATCCACAAATTCTAGTTAAAGGAAAACATCTGACACCCTAAATTCTAATCTTGAGGATTTCCAAATCCCGGACTTACAATTAGTAGAAAACACAGGAAAAACTATATAATAGTAAGTAATTTTAAAATTGCAATATTATTCAATTCTTCAAATATCATGTAGCCTTGTTCTATTGAAGGGCAAAAATATGTACACATTACATATGCGTGCATGGATATAATTTCTATTCTCTAAAGCAAAATTTAGGAAAAAGAGCGAAGTCAGAATGAAAATGGGTGTATTGTATATTAAATGTTATTATAGTGTGCATTACTTAGGGTGATAGTTGCTATTTTAATAAATAAACATTCAAGTTTTAATGGCATAATTAAATCGAATTCATTTTCTAGCTCATATATAATAACTTAAGAGTGTTCAGATTCAATTGCTGGGAAGATTTCTTCCACATTGATTGTAGGACCTAGGAATCCTCCATCTGAACTCCATGAATCCTTGCAGTTTTACCGATACATGCTCCCTGCAAAGTAGAAGGAATTATAGAGCTTTAATAAAAAAGCCCTTCTTTTACTGCTCTAGGCCAGTAAGTGAGCAACATAATTTTATCTCCCATACCTTTGGCAAGAACAGTCACAAAGCTCCATTAGATGGGGGATGGAAGAACCTTGGGAAGTCAATTCTTATCTGAGTTTCACTGGTAGAATCATAAAATCTGATGCTCTGCCAGCCCACTTTTATCCATTATCAGATATGGAAAGTTCGTTCTAGGCCCAGGTGTTAAAAACAAACTAACTTCCTGGTGTGTAAACAGTAGAGGATTGAATGGATATTTAGAATTGGTTTTATGTACATCCTGAATAATTTCTAGATTTTTGTAAGCTTCAATTTTCTTGAAATTATACTTGGGTTTGATAATGACTTTTATATTGACTCTACAGTATACAATAAATGTAAATAAGATACCAACTTGGATTGTATTTAGTATACTTACTTTGCTTACTAGTCTCTCTGAGTAGTTATATGTTTCTTTTAATTCTCAGGTGTCAAAGCCTTGGCAGATATTTTTAATTAAGTCAAGTATAGAAAAAAATAAATATAACGCCATTAATACTATCTGTTTTGATACTAATTAACTTGAATTTTGCTTTAAATAATTTCAACATTTGAGATCAAAATGAAAATTTTACCAACAATTTAAAATATCTTAACTGTTTTTCTAGGAACATTATCTTTGGCTGCATGGAAAATTTTAATGAAGTTTAAAGTTGCAAGGAAACTTTTTCTAGAAATTTTGGAAATTTCCATTCACTTATTTAATTAAATATTTTTTGAAATCTATAACTGGGGACAGAATTGTGGTGCAGCAGATTAAGCCACTTCCCTGAACACTGGTATCCTACATTCCAGTCTTGATTGCTCCACTTCCAATTCAGCTCTCTTATCCAGTGGCTGGGAGAGCAACAAAGATGGCCCAAGTATTGGGACCCCTATTACCTGTGTAGGAGATCTAGATGGAGTTCCAGGATCCTGCCTGGCTGTGGCATGGCCCAGCTCCAGCCATTGCAGCTTTTTGAGGCGTGAACCAGCAAATGGCAAATGGAAGACCTCTCTCTCTCTCTCTGTTTCTCTGCCTTTAAAAAAAAAAAAAAAGACACCTTGTTTAAAAAGAAGAGAAAAGAAATCTATAATGAAATGAAATGCAATGATAGGTAATTTATTCAGAAACAAGACTTTTAAAAGTTCATCTTTGGAAGCCAGTGTTGTAGCCTAGCAGGTAAAGCCTCCACCTGCAATACTGGCATCCCATATCAGCTCTAGTTTGTGTCCCAACTGCTCCACTTCTGATGCAGCTCTCTGCTACGGCCTGGAAAAAGCAGCGGAGGATGGCTCAAGTGCTTGGGCCCATGCTACCCATGTGGTTGACCCGGATGAAGCTCCTGGCTCCTGGCCTTTGCTTGGTCCAGCCCTGGCATTCTGCCCATGTCTGGAGTGAACCAGCAGTTAGATTTCTCTCTCTCTCTCTCCCTCTCTCTCTCTCTCCATTTCTCCCTCTCTCTCTGTAACTCTGATTTTCAAATACATAATAATAATAATAAAATTCATATTTGGCTTTCTTGTTCATTTGAATATGTCAATATGAATTCATAAATTTTAAAATTTGAATTGTTACTGTTAATTTATAGAATTATTATTGAACTAATACCAAGTTAACATATTTACTGACCAATGTAACTTTAGTTGAATAACTAAAAATTAATTATAAATTAATAAAGGTTATAAAACTGTTTGACTTTTGGGTGTTATTTTGCCTAAATTAATCTCATGAAATTGGGAAGAGTAGATTTATGGTGAGGAGTAGAAAGGTAGAATATTATAAACTGAAGTTTGGATTGTGACTTCAATTTTCTAAAACACTTACAAAATGAACTATTGGTCTAGAATGTACTTCCTGATATCAGTTTTTTGAGAAGTTGTCAGTTAATTCAAAGTTTGAAAAATTATGAGTATCTCGTTTCTTCATGTGTGCTTTTTCTGGAGTGGTTCAGAGTTACAGAGTTCAAAATTTGTCTACTTTAAGAAGAGACTTTGTGCACTGATAAGAAGACTAGTCTCCCTCTGGCTTGTCTTCTTTGGAACTTTCCCTCAATAGCTTTTATAAAGTTTGTTTACTTCATATACACAAACAAACAATTTGGAAAGCTGTCTAGAATAGATTTAACAAGAGTAATTAGTGTAGTAAAATAACTGGCAGCAAGATAGAAAGACTTGGGTTGGTGTCTCAGTTCTGCATTTTCCAACTGGTGTGAGATGACTAAACCTAAGTAACTTAGCAAATTTCCCTATACTTTTACATTCTTATTGAAAAAATTAAAAATTATTGAAGTATCTAGAAGATTTTTATTATAAAAAGTGACTAGGTCAATAGCCACAGGAAGTAAGCATCAAGTTAAACAGAATAATATAGTAATTGTTGCACAGAGTACATGTATGATGAACAAGACAATAATAAGAATTCTGTTGATGCCAGAATCAGGTATCACTCTAACATCAACTTCAGGAATCCAAAACCATTAATCATATCCATATTGAATTACAATTTCACCACTCATGGAAACTTTCTCCATTTGTTAATGAATTTTAACCATTTGCATTAGTTTCATCTGCAGGGTAACAAATTACCTCTCAATTGGAACCTGAAAACAATGAACATTTGTTATGTTACACTTCTGGAGATTACTAGTCTAAAATGGTTTCACTGGATGCAAACACAAATTGATAAGGCCGAGCTCCTTCTGAAGCATCTAGAGGTCTTACTTTTGCAATTGCTAGAGGTCACACTAATGCTTTCTTATGACTGCTCTCTTCATCTTCAAAGTCCCTAGAACAGCATTTTCATCTCTTCCCAATTCTGGTTTTCGTATCTCTCTTTCTTTCACTTATACTCATCTTGAGAGGCCAGTGTCGGGTGAAGCAGGTAAAGTCTCCGCCTGCAATGCTGGCATCCCGTACCGGAACCAGTTTAAGTCCTGGCTGTTTCACTTCCAATTCAGCTCCTGTTAATGCTCCTGGAAAAAGCAGTGGAAGATAGCCCAAGTGTTTGGGCCCCTGCCAACCAAGTTGGAGACCCAGAGGAAGCTGCTGTCTCTGGGCTTTGACCTGCCCAGTGCTGGCTGTTCTGTCATTTGGGGTGTGAACCAGTGGATGCAAGATCTCTCTCTCTCTCTCTCTCTCTCTCTCTTTCTTCCCCCCTGCTCCCCCCTCCACTGCCACCATAACTCTTTAGAAGTCATTTAAAAAAAAATAAGAGCCATCATGATTAAAATGGATAATCCAGGTTAAATGGTGGCCAGCGCCGTGGCTCACTAGGCTAATCCTCCACGTGCGGCGCCGGCACCCTGGGTTCTAGTCCTGGTCGGAGCGCCGGATTCTGTTCCGGTTGCTCCTCTTCCAGTCCAGCTCTCTGCTGTGGCCTGGAGTGCAGTGGAGGTTGGCCTAGGTACTTGGGCCCTGCACCCCATGGGAGACCAGGAGAAGCACCTGGCTCCTGGCTTCGGATCAGCGCGGTGCGCCGGCCGCAGAGGCCATTGAGGGGTGAACCAACGGAAAAGGAAAACCTTTCTCTCTGTCTCTCTCTCTCACTGTCCACACTGCCTGTCAAAAAAAAAAAAACAAAAACAAAAACGGATAACCCAGATTATTTTAAAATCCTAACAATCACATCTGCAAAGGTCCATTTGCCATATAAATTAACATACTCATATGTTCTGCATGTTCACACATGGATGTCTTATGGGGTCATTATTTCTGCTACCACATCATTCATAATATTATTTCTGTTTTTTGTATTCAAGGAAAGGCAAAATAAAGTAACTAATAGGTAATTGCAGTGCAAAAAGCGCATGATAAATTTTTGAATGTGGCATTACAAGGCAATGCATGTACTTGCCACTGATAGCTTTAATGCATTAGGGGTTCTATTTCATATCAGAAGTGGTGGTTAGCAATATCTTAATTAGATATTAAATTTCTTATTAGTTGTATGGAGCAAAATAGACAAAGCATATTAAGGGAAAAAGGAGGGTTTATGTAAAAATTACAACAATATTTACAACAGAACAAAGAGATTAAAGAATAGTTACCACTGAATCTTGGAACAAGAGCAGAAATATCATAAAAAGCAAATAAAATACTCAATATCTCATGGGCTTTGTGAGATTTTGCATCCATGTCTCTCCACGCATTGTGGTTGTTCTTCTCTCAGTGTTTACAAACTGATTCCTTTGCTTCATCTACTCATGATTTCATCCATTTGGTCCCAAAGTGTAGAGTCTGCATCGGTTGAACCCCAAAACTAGCTGGCCCATCCTTGTAAAAATAAATATTCCTGGAAATATATTTTGTCTAGAAGAATAGAGCTTCTGAATAAGGTTTCCTGTTTCCGTGATGCAGACTGGAGCTGTGGACAGGAACTAGTACAGACACAGTTTTTTTAAAAAAATTGGCAATAGAGCAGTTATGCAGAAGATACTATTGTGGGGGCTGTGAAACACATGGAATGAACATTTATGTACAAACTATTCACAGAAACCCATTGAATCTGAGGCTCAAAAGGAGTATTGAAAAATTCTGAAGTGAATTTACGATTCAGACCATTATTTTTTGTAATTTATAGAATAGTCTTAAGGGATAGATAGGCTAAACATAAATGAAAGATGATTGGAAAATGCTTTCCATGCTTTTGTGTTCTGATATTAATGCAATTGATTGAGGAAAATCAAATCTTTAAGAAGATAATTTTAGAGACTGGAATTATTATAAATCTAATTATATTATTCTCTGTTATCTTTATTTTCATTTTATTTAACATTCACAGTCTTTAACTTATGTAATTAAACCACTTAATGTATTTTTCTACATCTACCAACAGAGGTGTGTCCTTTTGACTTTTACCTCTTTTTTGCCTTGTTTTGCAGTGAATGATTTTTACAATTTCATTTTCTCTGTATTTACCAGCATTCATGTCACTTTAAAAATATATTTTTTTATCATCTAGAGATTGCAGCGTTGAAACTTTATGGTATATTCTCAAATAAATAATATTGTGTCACTTCATGGGTAGTACTAGCATCTGCCTGTGGTGCTGCTAACCCATATGGGAGTCAGTTTGACTCCTGGCTGCTCCACTTCAGATCCAACTCCCCTTTGATGGCCTGGGAAAGCAGTAGAAGATGGCCCAAGTGTTTGGGCCCCCAAACCCATGTCTGAGACCTGGAAGAAGCTCCTGGCTCCTGACTTCAGATAGGCCCAGTTCCAGCCATTTTATGGGCAATTTGGGAGTGAACCAGTGGATGGAAGATCTCTTTCTCTCTCTGTCTGTCTCTCCATCTCTCTGTCTGTAACTATATCTCTCAAGTAAATAAATAAATCTTTAAAAAACATCAAATTTGCTCTCTTTGTATATGTGTATTGTGCGTGTTTTATACATAACACACAGTATCTATGTAGAAGAAAATCAAGGAAAATCAAAATAAAATAAAATAATGATGTCATGTGTCATTTTCACAAGAAATGAATAAAATGATTTGTTTTGTTGCATCTGGAATTGTATGAAAACAGTTCTTAAATAGGTCCAGCTGATTCCTAAATGTTGCCAATGCTATTGGCATTGTCAAGCTTGTCTAAAAGACTTTGAGGCACAGGTAAGCTAGCTTTGGCCCTAATATGACATGGGGTGAGTTGTAAATAAAATTTGACTGAGATATGTGTAAGTTTACTTGTTCTCTCTTTCTTCTTTTGTCATAGAATGCCAGAATTGCTCATAAACCCTACAGTGTTTACTGTCTCGTCCTTTATAAACATGAAATTACCACATGTGTTTTTAAGTGGTACTAGTAAATATATCAGAATTGCTGACAGCAACAAGACAAACTCCTCAAGGACCTGCTATTTTGCACATAATACTCCATGCCCCACTGACATGGTTTGATGTCACTGAAATGTCTTCTCCTTCTTTGCAGGTTTCTCACATTGTTTATGAGTTTGCCTGTTCTCTATGCAGTTATAAGAAATAAATGGCAACAAGAAACCAAATTCAAGACAAAATTCTGTTTCACATTCACATGACTT